GGAATGTTGACACACCTTCTACTCTTTACGAGTAGTCAAATTTTGGGATTTGCTTCCGACTAAGGTAGCCCAAGCGACTTCCCAGGAGTCCATAAAGATTAAACTTATTATTAAGGGTTTGGGGTAGCGTTTCAAAATAATTTATTAACATTTCTTTTTCATTTGTGAAAGGTAACGTGACCACTAATTAGAGGCATTGGTGATCCAATGCTACTAAGTACGAAAACCCGTTGAGCGAAATTTTCTTCAATCTTCAGCAATAAGGATAGTAGGTTGGTAAACCTGTGTTAATCCTGACATATTGCCTTCCAGTGAAGATCCAGCTTCTCCTTAAAAATATTCACTGATGGGGCTGGTACCATTTGTTCGAGTGAGGCGTTCCAACTATTGACTACTCGATGAGAAAAACGGGACCCCACATTAAGTTTATTAGATCGCGGTCTATGAGCCTTCTTACTATGATCTCAGAGATTATTAGTGCTGGACGGAGCGAGAGGAAAAGACATATTAACACCCAAATCATGATCTAAGATATGAAATGCCAGTATAAGGTCACCTCGCGTCCTACGACACGACAAAAGGAAAGGTTCAGGCGTTTTGAGCGCTCATTGTAAGGGAGTTTAGAAAAACCCTTCACTAATTTTGTTTCCACATGCTGAACACGCTCAAGTGAGTTAATATCCTTTATCAGACATGGGCCAGTTGCTTGGATACATTACTCTAAGTGTGGTCTTACATAGATGGAATATAAAATCTGAAACATTTCCTCGTCAAAGCATTTGAACTCTCGGCAAAGTGATCATAACGCACGAATACCTTGGACAGCAGCTGCATTGCAATGCTGAAGAACATCGCGAGTTATCTTGAAGTGATGTCCACGAGAGATGACAGCAGTCTTGGATGTAACCCGCCAGGGCCCTGTAACTTACAAGGTTTGGGGTTAGATATCAGTGGAAGAACAGTTTCCTCGGTCACCTGTGCAGATCCAATGGCTGTTATCTCTGTGTGATTGAGACAAGTATTTGTAACAATAAACGTAGAATAGACTTCGCTAAAATAGTTTGAAAAAGTCTCAGCTTTTGCCTAATTTGGTTCGGCCAGTAAATCTGAATTTTCATGTAATAGTAATGGGGAAATACCACCTCTAGGTTTTGCTCGCCGTTTAACATACGAAAACAGTCGTTTCGGACAACTATGTTTATCATATGCCAACTGTCTTTCGTAAGTAGTACGGGATTTGGCGATGGTCTTTTTACATATATTCCGGATTTTTAGATATTCATACTTAAAGATGCGTGTCGCGTTGACAAGAATAAGTCGCAGAAGTGTTTCCTACGCTTCAACAGATTTCAGGTTTCCTTATTAATCCATAGTGGTCAATGTGATAGCTTACGTGCTGACCATGGGATAGACGGTGATGTTACGGGCTCGAATATGGCCTTAAACTTATTCCATTCGTCTCCGATAAATCCATCTGCATTGATCGAACAGTTATATGAGATAGCACAGTCTCTAACTCCCGGAATATTAGTTCGACAGATATTGGGATAGGGTGGGGCAGATACTAATTGTATGCCATCTGTCCAAAACTCACAGTACAACGTGATCACTATTCACTAGTGGGTGAAGGTGTTGAATGTCGATTACATCCCCACAGTGGTGTGAGGACATGGTCTATCAATGATGGTTTATGTTCCTAGTCAATATGTGTCGATTCCGCGATACATTGTACAAGTGCACACAGAATAATGGTTGATAGAAGGTCTCTGTCGAAACCCCCCACCTGGATCTGTAAACTCTATCCAGTTGACATGCGGCGCGTTGAAGTCTCTAATGATAAGACAACATTCTGCCTTACTCCAAGAACAGATGTGTCCTAAGATAAAGTCGTCAGCAGGACAACACGGACTACAGTATATTTCTTCTGCGATCACTAACCTGTTTCTGGACTTAACAACATGCTACCTCACATGTACCACTAACATGCGTCTCCGATATGATTGATTGTATACTCAAATGATCCATAACATACAACATTATGCATCCTCCCTTACGACTTAGAACTCTATCACTTCTAATGCAGATGTAACCTGCAATGATGGGAGAACAGTCTATATCTACGGTGAGCCAAGTTTCTGTGACAACAGTTATATCAAGATTTAATTCATCCACCATCAAACTTAACTCGGACGTTTAATTTCGAAGACTACGGGCGTTCATATAGCACATTTTAAAGGTGCTTAGGGAATTATTCGTTCTACCCATACAGGTCTCAGAAGCATTGGCTTCCAAGACCTGACTACCCGAAAAACCTTAATAGTAAGGTTCGTTTCTCCATTCAGCCTTCGATTTCTTAACTTCCACTTGATTCGATCCTCATGAGGCTAATCTAGTCGGATACGAATATTTAGATCACGAGTTTTGAGTGCGTTATTCAATGTTATGTCTATTTCTTCGAAATTTCTGAGTACCAACTTTAAGATACTTCTTGGTTGGGTCTCGCCTCTAACCTCTTCAGACAGTACATTTCTGATTACAGATTCCACTAACTGCAGATCGCGTGCATGTCTTTTAGCAGGGTCATTGTTTTTTGACTCCACTAGATTCCAAATAATTAAACTACGAAGGATTTTAACTTTTTAAAAAAATTTCGGAATTTTACTTGCTAAATGAAAACAACAAAAAGCGCGCATAAGGACATCTACTGGTTCAGACAAGCTCATGGTAAAGATATTGTATTTTGGATGTTACAATGTCTTAGTTTCTGTTCCAACAGGTAAGATAGGCGGTCTATTTGAAACTGTCATCCAGCCTCCAAAGAATACGTCGATAAGATGGTTTTATTAGTCCTTAATAAAGTCCAGACTTTCCCATTATCCAGTTAAGTTTTAAGATTCACTCAACGAAAATCTGTAATCTTCTGAATATTCAAACATCTACTCAGGTTATTACTCGCAAGTGTAATTAGTCAAGAAGCTTAAAGTTTTAAACACCGTTTGGAACAAAGAGATTTTAGAGCTAAAATTTAGATAGCCCTGTTAACAAGCGTATCAGTAAAATATTTATGAGCACATGGATTTCATAGTAATTCATTTCAAGGAGTACATGGCGATGAGCGATGTCAAGTAGTCTGAGTATATGAAAAGACTGGGACTTTCGGACAAACGTGACTGAATTGCTGGGGAATAATCCATTCATCTATGCCGAAAGCTGTACTGCTTATGGTCGTTTAAAAGCAGATAACACGAATTTCATACAGTGAGCGCACTATTTCTCGGTTTCAATCCGAAACAAGTAGGTGGCTTGTATTATTCCTGGCAATGGTGGTCTCAGTTGACCCGACGTCCTGTCGAGATCGTCGACAGACAGAGCTTTATTCATGTGTTGAGGTAATGAATCCCATTCCTTGATGATCCAACTGGATAGTCAGGTGACAACTAGTTTATTCTGGGCTTATGAACATTTTAAGTGTCCTCGTAAGTTTACTGTTTTGGAAGACAAGAAAATTGTGGACACATCAGATACGAACTTACCACTAAGTTGTTTAAAAACTGTGATCAAGTCACTCTGGTTCTTCTATATGACAATGAGAATTGGTTTAGTTTGGCCAGTCTGCTATCATACAGGAGCTTCTCTATTCCGAGGATCAGTTTAGTTGCAGTTCTTCGAACCTTTTCCAACAGCTCACTCTCTTTAGGCAGGGACTATCTGCTTGCATGCAGTGCTGGAGTTTAGGACGAACAAGCACTGTATACAAAGTCGAAAAGATTTTAGAATGGACGTAGTTGAATACTAACACACAGACTATAGGGTTGGAAGACCTTTGCGGCAATTGTATGGGAGTACGCAGTAGCTCTTAAGTCATAGCGCCGAGGTGCCGTAGTATGGCGGGGGTGGTGTGAATCCGCGCGCCCATGCGTGTACAGCCACTGACAGGGAAGTCCTACTCACTGCCTTCTCGTGGTGAGGGTGTTGTTTACAAAATTGAGAGGACGAAAAGCGTATGCCCAACGACCGACTACCTCGACGTGCTATGCTCAGTGGTATAGGAGTATGTTGGAAGAAAGCTAGGGGCGGCCAAACCAAAACATGGCACAAGTCCATGAAGTCACTGACAAGTGGAATGAGTCATGTTGGTAGGTGTAGACTACCTGGTTGGGGACCGCGAGATGACAGCAACCGATGGTTAGAGACCCTGAATGACATGGCTCAAAATCGTTTGCAATGGCGCAGGTGCATCCACTCTCTGTGTTCTCCCAAATTCTAATCTTTTGAATTCTTCATGTCCCTTTTTTCCTCTTTCCAAATTTATTTCACTGGATTATACTCTTTAAATAACATCTCCAAACCCTAATCTTCCTGATTACTGCTTATACTCTTATTACCTCTACCACTACGGGATTTGAATCGACAACTGCATCTCTGTGCTAATGTGGTGTGGCAACTCGAACTGATGTACGTACGTACGAAGTTCTACGTTGTTACTGACTGACTGGACGAAAAGCGAGTGTACGGCACTTTAACCGGGTCGATGGATATAGAGGATCCACCTAGTGTAGTTGGGAAACCCTGATTCCAAACCAATGGTGCAAATGGGCTCCCGGATCCTGGGGAGGGGGTAAGTGGCGTGTGAACCGATTGTTGGTTACCGGCTACCATGGAATTACATCTCCTCACGCTGTCTCACTGTCTTATGTATTAGACCTTTAGCTCGAAGGATCCGAGTGTGGCTTTTGCCAACTTACGTCACCTGTGGCGAAGGCGAGATATCCGTCTATCAATCAAGTGATCTGTGTGGCGCATATGTATTTGGTGCCTCCTTGTACTAATGTTTATGCGTTCAAATAAATAAATAAACCTACTATAGCGTTCTTATGGTCTTTTTGCAATCTACTTAGGGTTACATTTAGGTCCAAATATATGCTTAAGGGATTAACGATGAAATTTGGCAGTTCGTTTATTAACCTAGATGCGTTTCTAACTTTTGTTATTTTTCCTTATTGCAGCCGTGGGAGGCGGCGACTATTTATTAACATAAAGATCCAGTCACATGTCGAAACGCTCTGGCTTAGGTGTGGTATGTCATATTTGTCCAGCTACTTAACTAGAAGTAAGATCACTAGCGAAGAGTTATCAAAACCTTTAAAATTGTCAAAGCCATCTTTGGATAGTGATGAAGAAGACTATAACGATAAAGATTGTTTCCGATTACATGAAGCAGATATAGATGGTATCTGGTTGTTTACTGTATATTATTCTACAAGGTCAGGAAGCTACGACTTTAGAGTATGATGATGAAGTTAAAATAACTCCATTTAACATGAAAGAAGAGCTTGAGGAAGACGGTCACTTCGATTCCGCTGGCACTTTCATTTTCAAGAAAGTTAGTAGAAAAATTATGATTAACGGTTACTGTTATTATAGCAAGTTGATGCTCGTGATAATTGGTTAGAAGATATTAATTGGCTAGAAGTCAAGAAAAACCAGGAAAAGAATTCATTGAAAGACACTTCGATAAGCGATGAACTCGGCGGGAAAGTGCTAAGTAAAGAGGAGAAACTCGCTTTGTACCAAGAACTCTTATCTTATTTACAACCTTCTGAGACCGTTCTGCGCAGTATCAGACGTATGGGTGCCTGTTCAGATGCTAAGAAGTCCGCTTCAGCCAGCCAACGCTGGCTACGAAATAAAAATCCGAAAACTAAAACTGAGACGTAAGTGTCACATATGGTGTTGTACTTTTGGTTATGGCATACGTATTCCAGTATATCATGTTGTGTTAGAGACGATGTCTAAACAACTCATTAAAATTGTGATACAAATTAAAGTGTAGCGTTCCATTTGTTTCTAATTTTGAAATTAATATTTATTCACCAGTGGTGAAAAGGAATAACGATACGAACATCATGGAGAAATATTTCACTCTTTATGTAATTAGAGAAACCCATCGAAACATTCGGAATTGGAAGTATCATTTACTGAAAGGGTACAGCCGTATTTGTAATTATTTAGCACACACAAGTCTGTACTAAAATAGGTGTTACATTTAAAAAGTGGTCGGAAGTGTTTTCAAGTACTGACAAACGTTAAGTGGAAATAGATTATAGATAGAAGATAAGTCTGTGCTCACAGAATATTGGGAAAATGCGGATAAACAAAAAGAGGGGTCATAGCCTCTTAGGTTATAAAAACTAATATTATTTTTCTATGACCAAGGTAATGCGAGGACTTGGAGATCTCGTTCTTAGAAAAATCGGTCTTAAAATAGTTATTTCTCAACAATCATATCTTTCGAAATTCAATAAATGTATCATTCACTAGTAGAACATGGTAGTGAAACAGATTCATACACTGTTTTCTCTCACATTCATGATGTAAACGGTAAGAAAAATTAATCCCATGTCCAAACCAAATTAGTTGAATTGAAAAATAGTCCCTCTGACTTAGCGATTCAGGCACTTTACCTTCTAATCATTATGTCGTGGCTTCACGTTATGGAACCGGAATATTACCCAAATTCAGTTCAGATGTGTACTAGTGTATATTCATTGTATGACTCATAATATATTGGGATCTTGAGATGTCTAGGTAGTAACAGTCATACTTGTATATTCAGGACAAATTGTTCTAAGAAACATTTTCATCCTTGAAAGTTATATTTACTACATTCGCTTAGTTATCGTAGACAGATCGGATATATGTTTTTTTTTGAAAAAACATCTAGCGGCAATCCAGAAGGATTAATTCGTGTTACTGAATTAGCTGACCAACTTGTTCAAGGCGGAGATTTTGATGTTTATCAAAAAACATTCGACGATATCAAAAAACTGATAGAATGTACAAAACAATTCGCAGCAGATGATGAACTTGAAGTCCTCGGTCAGGCATTTGATGAAAAGCAAGCTGACGATAAAGGTTTGTTGTTTTTACCTGAAAAATGAGCTTCAATCTATACTTTGTAATAAAATTAGTAAGCATTATCGTAGCGGTAATATTCAAGACTACAGCTTTCAGCGTTTTGGTTTGAAGTTCTCAAGACAGCACTGTCTTGTAATTTTCGAAGACATTTCGCAACATCTACTGAACACGTGATTAATTAAAATTAAATGAAATAGAATTTTTTGTAGTCCACTTAGATATAGTTAGCGACTTTCAATTCGTATCGCGGTGACGTTAAAATTAGTGACTTTCAAGATATTTATTATCTAGGAAATAACTATGGTTTCCATGTTTGACCTAGAAGAAAACGTTTATAAAGACAGTCTACTCATTTTAATCCTTTCAAGGATATTTGCACTTAAATGTTACAAAACATCAGTCACTAAAGAGTGTTAACTACAGGCAGGCTAAAAACATTTCTTTTCTCAAGAAAAGTATTTATAATCACCTTCCATATTTTCTTACCCTATTTCTCTTGCTATGTATCCGGAATCACTCCATGGTTAAATACTTTTGATCGATTAGATTAAATATTAAACGTTGTTAACTCTTCGCTTGATCATCTTATGAGGTACTTATTTGTAGTGGAAAAAAAGCAAAACTGTAAGACTGAACACAAACTTGCTTTGGTTCCAGTTATTAGACGATATCAATTCTGTAAGGGAAAACTAATAAGAGATGAAGTAAAGTGAATAGGAAACAATTTAAAAAACGAACAAAAGTCACGAAATGGTACTGCTTACCCTAAACAGCGAGAACATCATAAGTCGAAGTAGTACATTTTAGCTGCTGAGACAGTGAGCTTGCTCATAGTCACTTTGAATCACAGCTAATCGTCCATAAGTGTTAGAGGGATATATATTGGATCAGAGCATGTTTTGTGCAGGATTGTGTTTGGGCACGCTAATTGGCTATTTCTTGATTAACCAGCGCTAAGGAGTACTTGGAGGAGACTGTCGAATCTTCCCATGTAAAAATCATGAATATGCTCTCATTTTTTAAAATTTTGATTCATACTTCCATCCACCCTTGTTATATGAAATGCAATTGCATTCATGTTCAACCGTGTTCTGATTTGGGGACTTGTCGAGTGAAGTGGTGTCCAAGAATACTAAGCAATAAGAGTAGCTGAGTCGTAATAAGAGAAACCATAACAATAGGCTATATTATATATATAATCCAGCTATCGGTCTACCCCAACAATGAATAGCAGACAATAGGATATTACACAAATTTGTAAGCTTCATCGGCAATTACACTAGTTCCGTTGATTAATAGCAGTATACAGGGGATCGAAACTAAATATAATTCCTCTCACACATCTTGCACGATTTGTTAAGTCACACTTCTGTTTTGTCGACATGTATATGTGGCTAATAACTTGTATTAACCTATAAGATTTGTAAAACTGGTTAAGTTTCATATTTGGATATAAAATAAGAATTTCTGATAAATCTGTGGGTAATTTTCAATGTCTACTTAGTTGGTACTGATCATCTTCAAAATTGTGTTTATGACTGTCGCTGATGTCAACTAGTTATTGGAAATTCTGATGACAAGTCATAATGTCTAGTGTCAGTCAAGTATTGTATGACATCTGTAGCAAGCATAGAACATACTTTGTTGTCTTTTGGGTGGAATTAATAATTAACTCTCATAAAACTTGTCGTATTAGTCTAAAGATATATATCCTGTACATAAGGCTCAGAAACATTATTGAGATCAAATGCACTATGCAAAGAATGATCGCTTCAATCAATTTCTAATTTCCTTGTATGGTTAATTTTGTAAAATAGTTGACCTTATTCATGTTCAAATTTCTAAAATGCTTATTAGGTGGAATCAAATCAACTGAAGAACATGATGGTACTGACCATGATGGCAGTAATAATAATACCTCAGTCATGTGGCATTTAAAACGTTCAAATAAACCAAATACAGAAATTGAAGGACCATACACATCTGAACAATTAAAAGTGTGGCTTCAAGATGGAACATTTAATGACGATGACAATATTTTAATACGTGAATCAACGAAGTCTGATGGACAATTCTATAACATCACACGTATTGACTTTGATTTGTATGAATGAGAGTAAATATTCACTTCTTCAATATTATGTTCCCTTCGTTTATGCATTCTATTGTATATAGAAAAATTTGTGAATATATATGTTCGTTTTTTCTGTTGATTTCTTACCTTACCTTTCGCATAATTTTATTAGCATATTGAGAAAGAACATTTTATTCATGTCTGTTTAACGATCGATGTTGCAGCATTTATGGAATGGTAACAGTTTTTTTACCGAAAATCGGGGAATTAAGTATTTTACACTCTTCACGCAGTGTTTCGTGGGAAGGATGAAAATTTGGTTATAGTTTACATTACTAACTAATATTGATCGGAGAACTTGAAATTAAACAATTAATATTTCGTCTCACGAATCTCCAGTACTTGCCTACTCCTTTTACGCCTCGTAAAGCATAGGCAACCAACCAGGATTCTCCAACCAATCCTTACGAAAATCAATCTATTGATATCAAAATTGAGCATCTACGGAGTCCTTTCTTCCGTTCAACAGCACTGTGTTGGGAATGCTTCCTGGTACTGACAGTCGTGTGATGCCACTGTAGTTCTCAACTCTCCGAGATCCCTTTCTTTGGTATCTTGATGAGGTATCCTTCTTTCCAGTCTGTTGGTACTTGTTATTCCTCCAAAATGTTTTGAAGAGAACGTAGAATATCTTTGCAGTTACCTCTATTTAACTTAAATAAGTAAAAACTACGTGCCCTTTAATGACTAACTTTAAGATTTAGGTCATTGTTTTTTATGGAATTCGATCATGATTGGAGTGAGACAGTTTTCACTGGTGTTATCTTATAGTTTCAGCAATAAATAAGGAATCGATTAAAGTCAGAACTGTGAACTACTGTATGCTGATTCAGTAGTCTAAGAATAATATGGTCCCTATTAGAACTGATGGTTGTGAATTCGATCTTTTTCACAGAACTACGGAATCTTAGAACAAAGCATTTTTACAGTGCTTAGTTGTTCTGCAGTGGTCATCGGTACCCCATGAAAATTCCCTTCACAAAAACGAAACTCAGTCGTTATTAATAAACAACGGTTTCCGTCTAATCATATCTTCGGAGCTTCATTAACGTAAAATCGACAGGAGTGTCACAGAGGACTAGTTTTTATGAAGGTAGTTCGTCTTCAAAGAACTCGTGTACATTGAAGTTAGTCTTACTTCTTATCTTAACCTCTGTTTTTTTTAAACAGGTAACTGCAATAGAATAGAAGAATCTGGATAAGAAAGTCTTTTCGACGAAATCATTTGGTTGGGCTTTGCATTCGTGTTTATAGTTGTATGGTAAATCTATGTCTATAGAAGGATAGAAGAGATTATATGGTGAAGTGATACGATACTTTAAATGTCAGATGAGGTTGCGTAATAATCAGTGGTCTTGGAGGACCAGAATAATTTACGGGTTAGAATTATGAAGGGTAATTTTCCGTTTGACAGATATGAAGAAAAAATAAAGAACGTAAATAAATAGTCGGAAAAAGCAGGGCTAATTTATTCTACAGAAGGGAATTCGGGTCAAGGAATGTTAAGAGGTTGGATGTGTTGTTTTTGCACTCAGAGTTGGGGATTGAATTGGTGGATCGCCAACGCCTCAACAGTGCATAAGTTTTTTAATCGAACTCCCTTGGATCCAATTTTGATTGTGTCGATTATTTGAATGAAGGCTTCTTACAACTGGAGACAAGGTAAGCTGTAATGTTTCTAGGATCGATGTCTTCTCACCCCTTTCTTACATTGTGAGAAGGCAGCATCGCTACAGTAGCTAGTTGTCTAAGGGAAACATCTTACTGTTTCCATACCTCTTTACATTCAGCAGTACGTTTTCTCCATCGAGCTCTAAGTTTTCTGCTTTTAACCATACCGTTGTCCGACCAACCTGCCTGGCGAGATGGAACGTAAAGGAATAATCCTCCAAGCCAATATAGCTTGCCTGAAACATCAACATAGTCAAACCCGATCACCACGTTAAGGTAGTAGAAAAGCAAAGTATTTCGATAATGAACAGAAATCAATCCACGAGAAGTCCATCATTACGCCTAAATAGATGGGTGAAAATAGAAGCAGAAATTTTAACGCTTTTCACCGGTTTTCAAAGCAGTTATAGTAGTGTTCATACTGAATTGAACGTTAATAATGAATTTTGAGCTTTCTTTCGTGACATGGCTTCAAAAAATCAAGGGAATCGGTTGTAGCATAATGGTATTACAAAAGATATGTTATGATATGTGGTAACATTAATTTAATAGCCAATAATAATAGGTTGATATGATTTCAACAATGCAATCGCCCATTTTCAACTTTGTACAGCATATGACGTTGATATTTCAAAATGTTAAGCTAGTGAATATTCGTAGTTCAAATGGATTATTATGGTATAATCTCCTTCCTTTAAGATGGATGGTCTAATTATAAAGAGTTTATTGTCATTTTGGATATTACGGTTTGTAACCAGTTCACTCTGATTTTCATAATCACATGAGTTAAGATTTTCAGTTGTAACTGAGGCTTGAAACTATTTATCTGCCTTTTTCGAGTTCTAATACCAGATTTGACGAAGTATAAATTTGCGTGATCCACCAATCAAGTGAATGAGTACGGTTAAAGAGTTAACTGATCTAAGTGTTGTTAGGTCTTGATAAACGCAATGAATGGTAACGTTGGGATCTTTTTATGGACCAATACTAAACGTATATTTTTATCATATAATTGTTAAATAACTAAACTATTCATATTCCTCTTATTATAAACTTTATTTTGATCGCTGAACCATTATTATACGTTTTACCATTTTTGAATTATGCCCTGTCTATTAGTTACTGCGTCCCACATTCACAGCCACATTTGGCCAAATATTGTACAAATGTTATTTTCTATTTTATGTTACGTTGTGGTCTGCTTGATTGGTAGATAAACAGCGTATGTTTGAAATCCATGATTCATATTGTTGAGGCTGAGACTGGTGTTCTGGACTTAACTGACTGGGCTAGGCGGAAAGCAGGACCAATCAGGACTCTAGGCTGCTCGCACGTATTTTACGCGTCCTTGGTCCAACCGATAATTCGCTGCTTCTGATTGGCGGCTTTGGGCCATAACAAGTATAATTTATAAATTAACACAGTATAAAATTAACAAAACTTGTACCATATAAAGTATTAAATACCAGGTAGAATTATTAATGTACACTACTTAAGAGTACTGAACTAAGCCAAAACAACTAATCGACACCTTATACATTTAAATATGTGCACAATATCTGTTTTTATAACAACAATCCTGGGTTCGAATCTCGCGAGGCGGGATCGTGGATGCGCACTACTGAGGAGTCCCACAGTAGGATGAAACGACCGTCCAGTGCTTCCAGGTTTTCCATGGTGGTCTAGCTTCAATTGGCCCATGATCTCATCTATTAAAAGTATCATTAAATGATAATAAAACTCAACCAGTGATTATATTTTTAATTATGCACACATTCATATCACACAAAACTTAAAATGAACACATATTTTTTGTTATATCCCAACGAGTATAAACATTGCATTTCTGATGTTTCGTGATTTAATGTCAGCCGCTTCTTCAGATTAAATGAATGCAATTCTTCTACTTATTAGGATTTAATAAAAGAATATATTAATTATTAACATTCTACTCGATGCTTAATCCATTTGTATTGATTGTTCGAATCTTACATTTGATGTCTAGGACTACAAATGATCAGTCTATTTTGGTCATGTGCATCCTGTTAGGATTACCTAGATAGTGTCACTAAGTTTTAAGTGTTATAGGCAGAGTTGAATGGTGGTTAGTATTGGAATCTAGGATGTGTGTTTCATCTTCTTTGAGACTATAGCACCTCTCTTACAGTTAAGCTTGTTTAAGGTTAATTTTGTCAAGTCTTTTAATTACCTTTTCTGATAGACAGTGTTATTTGGACTGTAATAATTTGTCTTTATTATTATTATCGCGTCTATATGAGCATCTATGCTTGATCACATGTGACAGTCTACACATATCCCTCTCTCTAGTTTAAATGTTAGTTGCTTAACAATCGCTCGATAAATCATTTACTTGAATCTTATTAATCGATTGAACTCCAGATTCACTCTCTCGTTCGCATTAGCTTTTCTGCTTAAATTCTCTCGGTGTACTTGTAGTTTTGTGATATGCGCTATTCAATAATAAACTAGAGTTAGCGCTTCGCATTGCCTTCTGAATTCATACACCGTTGAGGTTTATTTAATAACGGTTATCAGAACAGTTGATATACAAAGTATAAGAAATTATCTCGAAGCTAAACCACTACAGGACTCGTTGGCTGGATGCAGCTGCATGTACCTATTAATATTCGGTAATTTTGTTGTTTGGTTATATTTTCCTTGAAAAAGCTTGGACCAGATTGCCAGGTGAAACGTTGGATTTACTTCAAATTCTTTCTCCGAGATTTTACAAATACATTCTTCCTCTCTAATGACTCACATTAACTCGGCGCCCAAATATTGTGAAACTATTCGTTCAACTTTAAACGAAAGTTCTTATTTAGAATAAAATAGCGTTTTTTTGATAGAGTTTTGTTCTCTGAGCTGGATGCTTTGGTCGTGGAGCTTTCATCATTCTTCTGAACAACATTCATCAGCACAAAATTCAGATAGAAGTGGAGCGTTGGAATTTCTCCATATGTGAAACACATCCAAATCACCCACCTGAGCTACAAATCTTCTCCACCATCTCATAAAATAGAGTGCTTAATCATTCAGTCACTTTATAACTATATTCAAGTATTTAGTGTAAATTCTGTTGAAGGCCCTTAAATATTCGTCAGGAAAGTCTTCAGACGTAGGGAAAAAGTTAAAAAATAATTCGTCCAAATCTGAGTCTAACAGGAACCTTCTAAAGAATTCTGAAAATAATAATGGATCAAATCATGTCCTGATTGGATAATTCGAAATTGTGTTACTAATTATGGCATGTATTCGAAGTTCTCTAAAATATCAACATTTATAAATACCCTTTATTTCAGTGTACAAACTAATCTTGGAAATAAAGACTTTTCATACTCTACAGCTTCTATCCTCCATTTAGGATTAAATTATAGATTCATG